TTAGATTTAAAAGCCCAAATTGACTTAGCGCACGAAGACGAGAATTTGTCTTCAGAAGCCCTACTAGCCCTAAAGTGGAAGCTCTATGATGCTTATAGGGAAGAATAAATGTTTTGGAAACTTAAAAGTTGAGAAATTTGGTTTGAACTTGGAGATAAAAATACAAAATATTTCCATGCTTTCACCAAACAAAGACGGACAAGGAACAAAATTATTGGACTTTTGAATCATGATGGTCTGTGGGTAGATAATGAAAAGGGAACTGAAAGTTTGGCGGTAGACTATTTTAATGATCTTTTTCCAGTTCTAACCAACAAATTTCCATTCCGTTCTTTGGGATGTGCTGGTCTTGATATCCGAAGAAATGAACCAGAAACTTACTAAAATCATTTCCCCCGAGGAAGTTAAACGAGCATTATTTTCACTCATTCCAGATAAAGCGCCCGGTCCAAATGGAATGACGGCTCTCTTTTATCAATGTTTTTGGGACTTAACTGGACTGGATCTTATAAAATTAGTCTAAAATTTCCATTCTTCTGGCTTTTTTGATGAGCGATTGAATGAGACAAATATTTGTTCTATTCCAAAAATAGAAAGACTAGAAAGATGTCGGAGTTCCGACCCATCAGTTTATGTAATGTAAGTTACAAAGTAATTTCTAAGGTCCTAAGGATTCGCTTAAAAAAATTATTTCGGACCTGATATCCGAGACACAATATGCCTTTGTGGCTGGGAGGTTAATTACCGATAACATTCTTATCGTTCAAGAAAATTTTCATGCTCTTCGAACAAACCCGGCTTGTAGAAGAAAATTTATGGCCATAAAAACTGATATGAGTACTTATGGCCGGGTTGAATGGTCTTTTCTACGAGCATTATTGTTGAAAATAGATTTCACTCAGAAATGGGTAGATTTGATTCTCTTTTGTATTTCTTCGGCATCATACACAAAATTCTCCTAAATGGGACACCAAGAGGGTACATAAAACCTTCGAGAGAAATTCGACAAGGCGATCCTATCTCTCATTTCCTCTTTATTTGATGTATGGAGGCGCTTGTGGTGAAACTGAAAGATGCAGAATGGCATGGGAGAATCCAGGGACTGCAGATTTCACGGGCAAGCCCATCAACTTCGCATCTCCTATTCGCGGATGATAGCTTTTTCTTCTGCAAAGCAGACCCACTTCAAGGACAAGGGACTATTAACATTTTCCGCTATTATGGTGAGGCATCGGGACAAAAATTGAATGCTGCTAAATCTTTGGTAATGTTTGGACACGAAGTAAACACTACTACCCGAAATACTATTAAAGCAACTATAGGAATTTTTAGAGATGGGGATATGGGATCTTACTTAGGGCTACCAGAACAAATACACGGCTCAAAAACCCAAGTTTTCTCCTTTGTAAAAGATAGACTTCAAAAACAGATAAACACGTGGACGGCTAAATTCTTGTCAAAAAGTGGCAAATAGGTACTTATTAAATTAATGGCGCAGGCCTTTCCGACATATGTTATGTCGTGTTTTCTTCTCCCTAAAGCTATTCGCTCGAAGTTAAGCAGTGCTATTGCAAATTTCCGGTGGAACAAAAAAACAAGGAAAAAAAGTAATGGTATTCACTGAATAGCATGGGACAAGCTATGTACACAACTCTCCGACGGTGGTCTTGGTTTCAGAACTTTTGAAGAATTTAATCTTGCTTTACTAGCAAAGCTGCTATAGCGCCTCATTCGATATCCAAACTCACTCTTGAGTAGAGTTTGGAGGGGGAGATACTTTCGTTTAGTGACCCTATTCATATAGGAAAAGCTAACCGCCCCTCTTTTGGATGGAGAAGTATTATGGCTGCTAAACCATTACTGTCTCGGATCTCCGATGAACTATAGGATTTGGCATGCTGACCCGTGTGTGGGAGGACCCTTGGATCCCTACAATCCCCGCAAGACTTCCTAAGAGTATCCTTAACATACGGGACCCCCACCTCTATGTTAATGATCTCATCGACCCAACTTCAAAGATGTGGAAGATGGACCGCCTTCATGCTTTGATTGATCCTTTCGATATTCCCTTAATTTTGGGAACTCGGCCGAGTCGTACTTATATGAGTGATGGTTTTAGTTGGTCACACACCAAATGCGGTAACTACACTGTTAAGTCAGGGTATTGGACCGCGAGAGATCTCTCTCGTCCTACTTTTGACCCCCTTTTCAGAGACCAGGTGTTTTGGCTCTTCAGACACAAGTATGCAAGCTTAAAACTACGCAAAAACTCAAGCATTTCCTGTGGCAATGTTTATCAGGATGTTTAGCTACTTTCCAAAGGACTTTCAATCGTCATATAGGTACTGAAAAAGGATGCCCTCGGTGTGGAGAGGAAGAAGAATCTATCAATCACCTCCTTTTTGAATGCCCGCCTTCAAGAAAAATCTGGGCTCTATCCCCAATTCCATCCTCGGGGAATTTGTTCCCTAGAAATTTCCTCTTTTACAATTTCGACTTTATTTTGGCGAGGCCGAGAATTTGGTATCACAGAGGATGCGCTAGAAATATTTCTATGGATACTTTGGTATATTTGGAAAAGTCGCAATCGTTTCTTATTTGAAAATGTCAGAGAACCAACCTCCTCAAGAGACTCTTGATATCGCAACCAAAGAAGCGAATGTGTGGAAACAAGCAAATTTAAAGGACCATGAACCTGAGGAACCCCTCCCCTCGCAAGTAAATGTCCTTCGTCCTCCCCCTCTGCTAGTTGAATGTCAAGTTGATGCCTCATGGCATTTAGATGATACCCTGAGTGGACATGGTTGGGTCCTAATAGATAATGATAAGATTATTCATCTAGGCCTCAAAAGTGTTCGAAGAAGCTTATCTCCGCTCCACGCGTAAGTGGATTCTTTGCTTTGGGCGATGGATTGTATGATCTCGATTGGTGAAACACACTACGTTTTTGCCTCCGACGGCGCTGATCTAATCTCTTTCTTGACAGCCCGTCGGAGTGGCCAACTTTTGTAGCAGAGAGATGGCTACTTTTAGATCCCTTGATTTTTTTTCCCTCGTTCAAGATTAGTTTTCTTCCGCGTTGTTTTAATGAACCGGCTGATTGTTTGACCAAAAAAACCCGAGCCCGTAGTAGTGTTTTCTCTAATGTAAATAAGTCGGTTTCTGATTGGCTCTCTCTAGAAGAGAGTCTCTAGAAAAAACAATTTTTTTTGATAAGAAATAATACAAATTATCTTTTCTTTGATACAAAACTAACAAAGATTCTAAATGTATTCACATATACAAACGATATACATATATTCAAATTATGAATGACCTTGATCAGACTATACGACTATTTAAGAGAAATATATATTCTTAACTTCGTAAAACATAGAGAAAAAAAGAAGAATACATATTCTAACTTTCAGATGACCTTAGAAAATATATTTTAACTATTGTAGAACATAGAGTAAAAAATATAATCTATATATAAAATTTAGTAGAACATAGAGTGAAGTGTAGAATACGTATTCCAAATTTCATAAACATATAAAAATATGTAATTCCAAAAAAATTTGAACATATCACAATTCTATAATTCGAAGAAAATGTAAAGTGCATAAAATAAATAAAATAAAAAAAGTGCATAGAATAGATAGTTTTTTTTTTTTTTTTTACGCAAAAGATAAAAGGCGTATACTAAACTTAGCAGACGAATTTAGTTAATCTAAGAATTTACTTATTCTCAAAAAAATCTGAAAGTTTCGTCTTTAAATCTTCTTCATCCTTATTAGTCAACATGATTTTTTTGTTTTTCTTTTTTTTTCTCCCTTACAATTAAAATGGTCCTAAAATTTGGTTTTATCTATTGATAAAAATAGTTTTAGCACAAGCATGACAAAAACAGTTGATTGAGGTCCAAGTTTTAAAATGCTACAAGCACAAGCATGGAAAATCATGGCTCATCCAAAAATAAAACACTTTTTATGGCAAATTGCTTCGAGGATTCTAGTAGTTACTTCAAAATTAGCTCATCGTGGGATACGATGTGATATTGTCAACGTTGTGAGATGAAAGAAGAAATAATTAATCATGCTCTTTTTGAGTATCCATATTCTTGAAAAATCTAGGGATTGTCTGCGATTCCTATAGTACCAGGAAGTTTTCCTCTAAATTCGGAATATTTAAATCTAGATTATTTATTTTGGAGGATTCCATCTCGTGTAGAGGGGAGGGAGACAAATTATTGTTTCGATTAGATTTTGTGGTTCATATGGAAATACAAGAACAAGAAAAATTCAAAGGATTACAATCCGATCCCACATATATTTTAAATCACGGTTTAAGTGAAAAATTAATGTGGGAAGAAACTCAATTGGATCCAATTGAATCTATAAGATGTCAGATTGATGGCTCATGAAAATCTTCAGGTCCAACTATGGGTCTGGAATGGTGGTGTTTTCAAGGAAATGATCATAAAATACTACTTGATGGAAGATGCCTTAAGAGGTGTCCCTCCCCGTTCACTCGGAGTTGGAAGCTTTAATTTCGGCTATGAAGAATATCCTTTCAAGAATGATTGATTATCAAGTGTTTGAAAAAGATTATTCAGAGTTAGTCTCGATGGTACCGTCCCTGAAGAATAGTCCGTTTTTCCAATCTGCTAGATGAGTTTGGATTCCTCCGAGCCTCATTTCCTGAATTTTCGCTCTCTTCCATTTCTCGTTTATGTAATTCTAAGACGGATTATTTAGTTATATATTCTAGATTTCTATTTTTTGTAGTTACGTTTGTAAAATCTTCTCGTCCTAATTAGACAACTAATCATAGAGTTATTTTTTAATTAGTGTGTGCTTGACAAAAAAAAAATATAAATTTAACATAAATAAAAATTTAATAATAAAAGTATAAATGGACGAATGACCTAAAAACATCCTCTATCTATAATTTTTCCTTCATAAAAATATAAAATAATAAAAATTAGAATTATTTTGCGGAATTCCAATATATCAGAAATCAGTAAATTACATCCGTCGTTCATTTATCAATTTAAAATGCTCTGCTGTTTCTTCTGAAATTTCTGAAGTGGTTCGACGATGCTTCCACTCTGTTCTGACTTCCGAGGCCGACGAGCTGCGTCAAATAAACAAAGAGCAGCGAAACAATCGTCGTTCCTCTTTTTAAATAAAAGATTAGTTTTTTCTTCTTTTCCCGGAAAACGTTCACAGGTCTCTCTCTCTCACCTTCTCTGTATAAAGTCTTCTTGAGATCGAAGAATAACTTCAATTCGATTCTCTCCAAGGTTCACACAGGTACATATTCTTCTTCATTCTCTCTTGTCTGAGTTTAATCTCGAAATGGTTTTTTTTTTTTTTTAAGTCTACTATTTGTTTTTCTCTCGTGTAGCTGTTTTTGATAAGAAGATTGATTGTGATGGATCCTAGAGCTCAGCAGATTCCTTTACTTGAAGGTGAGACTGATAATTACGATGGTGTTACCGTAACCATGGTGGAACCTATGGATGCTGAGGTTTTTACTGAAAGTCTTAGGGCTTCGCTTTCGCATTGGAGAGAAGAGGTATTAACAATATATCTCAGATTCGAGTTTTGTATTGTTTCTTCTCTAGGTTTTTCTTTGGAATTTGATTGTGTTGATAATCTCAAGTTTTTATTTGGAAATTAATGAGTCGGAGTTTATGATTCACTTCAGATTCAATCAAGCCTTATTGTTGTTGTTTTGTGTGGAATTGATTGTGATAACTGAAACACTTCTGAGATATGAGCTCTTAAGAGGATTGTGATAACATGAAGACTTAGTCAGAGAGTTTATGATTTTCAGGGGAAGAAGGGAATTTGGATAAAGCTGCCTCTTGGATTGGCTAATCTTGTGGAGGCTGCAGTTAGTGTAAGTTATTGATGTGATGATTTGGATTTCAGTTGGTTTGACTTTAGTAAGAGGTTATTGTGATGAGTTGAAATCTGTTGTGTTTGGTGTTTTTTCAGGAAGGATTTAGATATCACCACGCGGAGCCTGAGTACTTGATGCTTGTATCTTGGATCTCTGAAACCCCTGATACGATCCCAGCCAATGCTTCTCATGTTGTAGGTGCTGGTGCTTTGGTCATCAACAAAAATACTAAAGAGGTAACCGACGGTGCCTTCTTTGAGTCTCAAAGGGACTGGAGAAGAGCATAGTTTCGCATACATTGCTTAACAAACAATGATAATTCAATGGTGTTTGTTTATGAAAATTTACTTTTGACTGAATCGAGATGAACCACTTCGATGAGCAGGTCCTTGTTGTCCAGGAGAGGAGTGGGTTTTTCAAAGCTAAAAATGTGTGGAAGCTGCCTACTGGTGTTATCAACGAGGTGACTTACATTAGATTGTTTTTGTGATCTTTTATTCTCCCATTAAATATTTACAATCCTGGTGAATGACATGAAGAGTTAATCCTAAAAAGAGTTTGGTGAACGAAGCTCCTAGGATCCTATACCCAATTGCCCTGTGAATAAACACGAGTAAACTACTAGTGAGAGCTTGACTTATAAAGGGTGTCAGCGTAATGTTTAGGGGAGTATATTCTAAAGAGTTGATAGTGCTGAGAGTTGTTGGTGAATTGCATAAGAAAGTAGTTCTTACATCTTACAGAACCATAAAGTGTTTACAATAACTCAGATAAGTTCTCAAGAGATAAACATTCTTTTCCCAACTTAGCTAGTCAGCAATTCAGCTGGGTATTGGTTTTTGGGTATTAGTACAATAATCTAGTGTCAACAATTGGTCCCTGGAAAGATGATTGATGATATGAAGTTTGAAACTAAGAGAATGGTGGAAATGAAGTTCTAATTGTTTTTTTTTTTTTGCTTCTAACTAAAATATTCGAATTCCACAGGGCGAGGATATATGGACTGGAATAGCTAGGGAAGTGGAAGAAGAAACTGGTGTAAGTATCTGGCTTTCAGAAATTAAGCATTTCAATTGGGTCTCTTACTTGACATTCTAATCTAAATTTTGTGTTCTTTTCTTGGCTTTTCACTTCAGATTATTGCAGATTTTGTCGAAGTATTGGCTTTCAGGTAACTTAAATTTTATTGTTGTAGACACATTTGATCTGGCTTAAACGCATCTGTTCCTCATTGATCAACTCTTTACCTCAGGCAAAGCCACAAAGCCATCTTGAAAAAGAAAACAGATATGTTTTTCCTGTGTGTCTTAAGTCCGCGCTCTTACGATATTACTGAACAAAAATCTGAGATCTTGCAAGCTAAGGTAAACCTTTCTAACTTTCAGTGTTGATGAGCCAACAAAATGTTAAAGTAAATGTCACATATTTCTAATTTTACTTGAACTGGTATATCGTATTACAGTGGATGCCAATCCAAGAGTATGTAGACCAACCATGGAACAAGAAAAACGAGATGTTCAAGTTCATGGCCAACATCTGCCAAAAGAAGTGTGAGGAAGAATACTTGGGATTCGCCATTGTGCCAACTACCACATCATCTGGTAAGGAGAGCTTTATCTACTGCAATGCTGATCATGCCAATCGCCTTAAAGCAATGCGTGACCAAGCCTCCGCTTCTCTCTGAAAACATTCTCATCTGATTCAGTTTGATCTCGGCATGTGTGTGTCTAGTGTGTACAAAACAGGAAACTATGTTCTATATTCTATATTATTCCGATTCTACTAAATTGCGTCAATGTATTTAAGTTTATACCATATTGTCATTGACTTCTAATCTATTTCCAGTTATGGTTTGATTCTCCCAACGCTTAAGTGCTTTTTATAGATAAGAGACTAAGAGTGTTAACATAAGACTACATGGTTTACTCTTCTAAATATCTTCTCATAACCGGTTTTAAATTCTCAGCTGTATGTTTTTTTGTTTAGTGGACTACACTGGTAAATGGTGTGAATCCAAGGAAGTGTTAATCAATACAATCTCTTACTAATAAAAATAGATCATTGAGGCTTCTAAAGCTAGCCACATAAGCTTTTCAACAATGGGTTATCAAGTTGCCACGTGGCATAAGTCCAACCTAATTCCTTCTCCTAATTGCTCTTCCCTCAATTTCGTTTGTAACGCATCAACTCTCTTCCTTAAAACTCTTCACATGTCATCGGTTACCCATTAACATTCTTCCTTTCTTCCTCCTACGTACGATGATTTTCTCCCCAAAGCGTCTTTCTCTGCCTTCTCCTCTCCCTTGCAGTTTTTGGCTACATTAACCTGCTTCTACCATTTAAAAATCTCTTCGCGTTCTGCAATACAACTATTTTACAATCTTCCATGGACCAATGGCCTCTCAAATCCAGCAAGAAACTCAGATTCCAACAGTGTCAAAAGTCGCTATATGAGACGTGGAATAGAAGTCATGAATCCGGATGAGATCAATACGATTAGCAAAGCACGAACTTTCCACCAAGGTTTTTCTAAACTTGGCTTATATCTCTGATTTTGGACATTGACGTCCATGATTTGGTATGGTCTTTCATATTATGTTCGTTTTGAATAACCTATTGGGTTTTGTTCTAATCTTCCTCCCTTTTATCAAATTAGAAATTAACAATTACGATCTCTGTACTTAGCTTTGTACTAATACTATTTTACAACTGCTTATATTTTTAGCAAAGAAAGTTTGAATTCTTAATTGCTTTTCCAAGTTCGTCGTGTTAATTGTCGATATGAGTAGATTTCTTGAATTTGGGGTCGTGGAGGAAAATATACCTTAAGTCTTAACTGTGATAGGTCTTAGTTGTCTAAGTTTGATAAAGGTTTATTTTCATTGTTTTGCAGAGCTTGAGACGAAGACAAATCTTGCTCGAGACATTAAAAGACAATAAACAGAGAAGCCAAGTAAGATTTTGCATTGTCACACCTACGAAAAAGTTGGTTTCACTTATGAATTTGTGTTAGACAGTAAGATTTTGTTCCTTTACTCTCGGTTAAGAAACCAGAAGAAAGATATATAAGTTAAAGGGTCCAAAGACTTGCAAAATACCGATCTTGAAAGGTATATATATTCTTCATCGCCTCCTCTTATATATTTCTTCAGAAGAAGTTCAGTGTTTTGCTCACTTCATTCTGTTGGTTAATTTCCACATAAACAATCGGATCTTTTGTTAAATACTGATGATTTGGCTGCTATGTGGGTTTGTTTGAGTGAAAATTGTGTGATTCTTATGTCACAACAGTGCCGGCTCAACTGTATTATAGACCCTAGAGCAAAAAAAAATTTTAGACCCTTCCAATTTTTTTTTTTTTTTGTGTTCTTTGTGTTATATAAAAAAATTGTATGATATTTTTATTAAAAAGTTAATTATTAAAACTAAAAACAATAATAAAAAAAATTATGGGCCCTTCTAAATTTTATTTTTATGTTGTAATTTAAAATTTTAATACTTTTATAAAAAAAAATTAAAATGGGCCCCTTAATTATTGGAGCACGGGATTGGACACCTGGCCGTCGCACCGCTGGCCCCCTATTTAAGCCGGCACTGTGTCACAAGTGCAGAAAATATATCTTTCTTTCTACTCCTAATGTTTTTCTTATCATTTAAGATGTTTGGGGATTATTACTGAAAAAATCCTTTTTGGGCTGCCATTTTTCAAATTTGCCATTTTTTAAATGGGCTTTCAAATATGTCATTATTGGGCTGCGCAAATACCAAATCTGTCCTCCTCGCTGTTGCCTGCGTTTTGGGGGGAAAACTGAAAGTTGAATTTTTTTTTTTCAAACGCTTCTGAACAGGATGGGACGATTGCTCCTGTGGACGAGACGACATCAGCGGTTCAGATTGCGTAGATTTAAGTTTTATTTGGATGAGACTAATGGCAGTAAATTATGTGGATATTATAAAGTAATGACCTATCTGTGTACAAAGAAACCTAGTTTCTCTTTGGGAAGAAATCTGAGAAGCGAAAACAAGGAAGAACAGCAAACTGGTAGACGAATTTGCACTATAAATCAATGGTGGGAGAGGTACGGTTTTCCGTGTAATGCTGTCTTTATAGTTGTTTGAGTGCAAATGTTTGGATTTATAATCGGTAGTTTTTTTGTTCGACAAGTGGAGGAAGTTCCTGTCTTTGTTATTGCTGGGAGCTGGGAATGTTGCGTGAAGGGAATCTGGGACTTTGTCATCGCTAAAGAGTGTTATGGGCGGAGCATTTCAATGCAAATGAGTATGACTTATGAAGATCTCTTGTCGAAAATCAGATCGGAATTCGAGTTTGAAGGTATGCAGCTCAGACCAAAGCTTAGCTACTGGCTTCCATCACAACTCTCTGTTTTTTCGGTTAATACTAGGCCGCCAGTAATTATTACAAGCAGTATGAGTATAAGGAATTTTCTGGAAGTTAGGAACACTGCAGTTCATATTAACTTGTTGCTATCCCTTGAGCCTCAACCTGCGGAAAACAGATCAGTGGTAATTAGGTCTAACTGCTCACTGGCCTCAGAAAGAGGCAAAGGGAGTGTACCTGAAGGTGGTGGTTCTGACTTCTTGCGAAGGTATGGTTTAGAAACTGGTGGGACTAATAGAAGTGAAGTCAACAATGTGAGTGGTGTTAGGAGAAGGCTGTTTGATGATGATGGACAGACTGATGCAGTCAGATTCCTCTCAGTAGCATCCAATAGTGAAGCGTCTGATTTGCAGAGAAATGATCCGCTGGTGACTGGGGTAGGCCTGCTCCCTGGTGTTGATGATAGTGGGCTGATTAGACTTGGTGATTCTCAGACACCGTCTCTCTCTGCGTCTTCTGAAGGATATCTTCTTTCTGCTGAGGCTGTCGAGGAGAATGAGAGTATGAGTGAGGATCAGGCAGCGCTGCAGGCAGTTGAAGAATTTGAAGAGCAGGAGCGCCTTCGCTGTGCTGATAAAGGAAAGGCAATTCAGGGTGCTGAAGATCTTGTTTATATTGACTCTGGAGATTCGCATACGGATGGTGTTGTTGGATCAGGATCAGATGATGATCAACAGGAGGACTCGCAGTACTGGATTGATTTGTTTGATCAACAATATCCTTTGCATTGGCCTTCACCGTTGCTTGAAGTTGGTGAACCTTCTGTGCCTGTTGGTGAAAGGTTGTCTGTTCCAGCAGGAGATGATGTAGATGTTGGTGCTGCTGTGTTAACATATGTGACACAAGGAACAGCTAACGAAGAGATTGATCTTAATACAGTAGCAGGTGTGACTCCAAATATAAGGCCAGCTCCCACTGATGTTCCTGCCATACCTGCAACTACCCAAGCAAGTGAAATAGACAATGGCATGCCTGAGCTTACGCAAAGAGAAGATGCGGCCCCTGTCTATGATGACATATATGAAGTAACAGCCACTGAAGGGTCTGACAATGATTCTGCTGAAGGAGATGTTATTTACAGAGGCCGCGTGTTTAAAAACAAAGTTGATGTGCAGAATACGCTTGCCATATATGCAATCAAGAGATTGTTCCATTTCAGACAAACCAAATCTGACACCGAAAGGCTGATTTTTGTTTGTGTTGATCAGCATTGTCCGTGGAGAGTGTTTGCCCGTGTTGTATCGCCATTCTCAGAGAACTTTGAGATTCGGACATGTACATTGACACACACTTGTTCTATAACAGCAAGGTCCCAATATGGTAAGCAAGCGTCAGCAAAGGTGATTGCTGAAGTTCTTAAGGATAGGTATGCAAATGGGTTACCTGGTCCTCGAGCTGTTGATATCCCGGATATTGTATTACAGGAGCTCAAAGTTTCTATTAACTATATGAAGGCGTGGTATGCAAAAGAAGCTGCTGTTTTTGCAAGCCGGGGTAGTGACGAGCGCAGCTATGAGCTACTTGGTGTGTATATGCATTTACTGCAAAAAGGAAATCCAGGAACTGTCTACAAGCTTGAATACACAAAAGCTGCAAATGGAGTGAAGCAGTTTAAGTATCTTTTTTTCTCACTTGGGGCGAGTATTGCTGGGATAAGGACCATGCGAAGGGCTGTGCTTATTGACGGAACAACTATCAAGTCCAAATTTAAAGGGGTGTTACTGACTGCAAGTATGCAGGACGCCAATATGCAAGTCTTTCCCATTGGCTTTGGAATAGTAGATAGTGAGAATGAGCTGGCGTGGACATGGTTTTTGAGGGAGTTGAGCCTGTTGCTGCCAGACGCTGAGGATCTGGTTATTGTTTCTGACCGGCATAGGTCAATCTATGCTGCAAAGCGCCACATTTATCCACTAGCGTTTCATGGTGCTTGTGCTGTTCATTTAGTGAGGAATGTGAGGAGTAATTGCCATGGAACCGGTGTTGCAGGCCTTGTTGCAAAAGCCGCACGGGCTTTTAATGTTGGCGACTTTGAGGAGTGGTTTAAGGAGATAGTAAAGAGAGACCACAAGTGTGCAGCCTATTTGGACGTCATCCCGCGTGAGCACTGGACTCAGGCCTATTGTCCTGCAAAGAAATACAATATCATGAGCTCAAATATTACGGAGGCCCTTAATGGTGCGCTTGCAAAGATTGTTGAGCTACCTATTCTTTCTATCGTCGAGTCTATAAGGACTAAACTAATGGAGTGGTTTTGCCTACGGAGGGAGAAAGGAAAAAGACTATCTGTTTTTCCAGATCCTATCACTCCAAATGTTAACAAGCTCCTTCTTCGATACCAGGCTGACTCCGCTGATATGCCTGTGAAACCTGTGTCAGCAATGAGTTTCCAAGTTGGTGATGGCAAGAAGAATTACTATGTTGACCTTGAGAAGAAAACGTGCACCTGCTTATTGTTCCAGAAACTGGAAATCCCCTGTAGCCACGCTTTGGCTGCTGCAAGGCTAAGGGGAATTTATGTTCCAGCACTCATATCTTCTCACTACACACTTGCAACATTTTGTGAAGCATATGCAGAATACATATTCCCTGTCCCTAATCAATGTGATGAGGTAATTCCAGCAGTGGTGGAGCAGACTCAATTCATTCAACCTATTAATCCAAATGGGCCAGGCCGGCGCAAGAAAAAGAGGATCCCATCAGCCGGTGAATTCACGGTAGTAAAGCTAACCTATATGATTACCTGTACATGTACTAACCTTAAGTTGCAAAAGAGTTAACCATTTTATGTCTTTGCAGGCTGCAAAGAGAAGGAAGAGTGGACCACACAAGTGTTCAAGCTGCTTGAAAACAGGGCATAACAGAGCAACTTGCTCTAATGTGCTTCCATAAAGTATGGAATCTCTGACTTTTATGGATGAACTGTTGTAAATATATATGAGCTGTTCGGTTGAAAACTTGTATTTGAAACTGCAGGTGTCTGGTTGCACAACAGTTTTTTGGGGGCGTTGTGATGAAGCAGATAAAGGTTGTCATGGAGAAGGTTTTTTGTTGTCTGGTGAACAAGGTTTGATGTATTACCAATAGCGGATTGAAGAACTGGAGCGGGAAGGAGTTGTTCAGCAAGTAGGGTAAAGAAGCCCAAGTTTTTTGGTGACTTTGCAATGCAAAACATGTAGATATCATTGCAAAGCATTTCTAGGTGTCTGTTTTTAACTTAAACTGCATTTGGTAGTTAGAAAGTTGGGAAGATGGTGTTAAATCTCGGTATTGTCATGTAATATCTATGTGCCTGTTTTAGCTTAAATTGCATTTGGCAGTTTAAAAGCTGGGTTTGTGGGGTTAAAACTCCATATTGGCGTGTAATAGGTATGTGTTTCCCTTTTTTGTAAACAAGGCTATGTACTTGGAACTTTGAATATGAATGACAACTGCTGCGTGCCCTTTATTAAACCATGAAAGCGTGCATTCAGAAAGAAAGAAACATGGAAACGAGTGTTAACATAGGGCTATAAAACGTCTAGCATAACTATAAAGGAAACATTTCCGGCATAGATGAACAACTGCGACATTGTTAACATAACAGTAAGGTGTAGCACCCCCAAAGCTAAATGTGTGCTCGTAGCGGCCAACCCTCTCGAAGTCCATGTCAACAACTTGCCTAATAACCATCTCTGCGATGTCAACAGCTTCTTCAACGCTTGGCATGAGAGAAAAGAAAGAGTTAACGACCTCCATCGCTTCCTCGTAGGAGCCATGGCACACAAGAACAACTCCAAGAGCAAACCGTGCATAAATTATTTCAGAAGCCGCTCCACCAATAAGATGAATTGCTTCCTGGGAAGGTCCTCTTTGTGATGCAAGTCGGAGGCCCTCTACATACATGGCAGTTGCGTTACCAGCTTCCAAACATCTAAGCAGAAAAGGCCGGTAGACCGAACCTTCATTTGCGTGCCGGCTGACAAATAACAACTCGTCTATGTCCACCTCATTGAGCACAACCTCGTCCAAGGCTAGGGAGTTGCAGTAATGACCAGCAGCAATTAAAGAGCCTAGTTCCCGAAAACCATGGTGTCCCAGACGCCTGACAATGTCGATAAGTAGAGGGTGTGGAATGGTATCCATGTCTGGTTTGCGTAGATTTGAAGGTGATAGGTAAGACGTAAATGGCCTGGTCGTTGGTGGTATATATCATGGAGAGAAAAAGCGTATTGTGGGTGCTACATTTATTGGTTCAGCTGTAATAGGGACAAAGCGTGTGGAAGAAGATGGAGTAGGGGTTGTAGGGGTGGTGACTGTATAAAGCTAAGCAAATGAAGAGTGGCCAGATGGTAGACAGTAAATGAGGAAGCAGTGTAATAAAGGTAAGTCAGAGATATAAATTGAGCCACTTGTGAGTTAAAATGAGAACAGTGCTATACTTAATACAGAGAAGATACATAATAGCTATATGGATACACTTGTTAGGTATGAATAGACTTAAAATAAAGAGACATACATGTTGGCTACTTCTGCGTACCAATTGAACAGTTTTGGCTTAACAGAGAAGTAGATACATAACACCAAACCAGTAGAAAAAACACAAAGAACAACGGTTATCTATTCTGCATCCACTCCGAAGACAGGCTGGGATGTCAGGATATTTCCAGGTGTTGGCATGAGACCGCTTCTTAACAGGACGAAGCTGCATTATGTGGTGGAAGACCTCACTGGCCACCTGATCTGCTGCTTGAAATGAACCAACAAGAGAAACGAAAGTCCAATTTGTTTCAATAGCTTGTCGGTAAAAACCTAGACAAAGCAGAAGCAACGCTTTAGTGAATACTGAATGAGGCAGAGGCGTTGTATCAACGCTTAACAAGCGGAGACCATCTTCGGCGCGACCTTCTTTGGCAGCTAATCGGAGGCTCTCAAGATAAACTGCAGTAGGATTGTTAGCTGCTAGGCAATGACGAAAGAAGTGGCGGTATGGAGATTCAAGATTAAGAAGAGAAGCATCTGAAAGCAAAGGTTGGAGGGTAACTGAGGAAAGGACCTCTGAGTTGTAGGCTAAGCTGTGGTAGTATTTGGAAGTCAAAATCATACCTCCTAGATCTATAAATGAAGATGCACCAACCCTTGAAGCAATTTCAAGAGCAACATGAAAATCTAAAGTTTCCATTGATGAATAGACATAAGTTCCTATTACCTTGCAAAATGGAGTTAAATAGGAATGGCGAAATCAGGTGGGGGTGAGTAAAGGCAGTTTAATAGATATGGTAGTACAGTTGGGAAGAGGTTTGGTTAATAAAACAAGTAACAGGTATAAATAAGCATTAACACAAATATAAGAACTGATATATTTGGACGGTAAGTGATTAGAATGGGTCTTTAAAACTGAGAAAACTCAAAGATTAACCAATGTGAAGTATAAATACACAGAAAGGTAAGTGAATGCAAATAAAACGGAGGAAATGACAGTCGGAGGATCATTTTGGCAATACAGGCAGGAGTTTAAAGTGGAGAGACATACTCTCCATACATGTCTAGCGCATAGCGCATCCGGATGTTATCAACTGCATCAGGGGTAAGTTTCGTAAATGCGTTAGTAAGACCATGAGAGTGAAGCTCCATCAGCTTAACAGAAATTGGGCCACAGTCACCACCACGAGAATTCTGTGGCAGACCAGGTAGGTGCATGTGTATGTGAAGGAAGCGGACGGCCAAGTGGTTGGCAGCTCACCAATGACCGAGGACAGTAGCGACGGAAGCATCTGACAAAGGCCATTCATGTATCCAGGGACTTTTCTTGCAGGAGTGCAGTCTTCAAATGGGTCAAGGATGGTGATATGACCTTTTATGAGATCAACTGCTAAGGCAACCCAATGTGTCTTACCCCAATTCATTGGAATGTAGAGAGTATCAATGTCAGTTACCAAGTTCAGTTTCTCTGAACGACCCGCAACACGACCTTCAACATAGGCTTTAAGCAACGGGTTCCATACAAACGAGGATGAAGGGGAGTGCTGACTACAACTCATAAACTTGTTGGTTATGATTGTAGTAAACATAGAGTCAAGGATAGTGATTCTGCGTTTTGCAAGGTAGGCACCATGTTGTTTCCAAGCAAAGTCAACCAACAAATCAATGTGTTGGATGTCAAAACAAAGGGGTACTTTATTATTATTTGGGAGCTGATAAAAGAGAAGTCAGCATAAAGGTTTCTGGATTGAATAGGAAGGGTAGAAACTAACCAAGTTAGAGACCCAATGCTGAGGTTTGGAAAGGTCAAAGAAGAAGGAGGATGGGTATGGGTGACCCGCAAGTGTGTACTGACTGCGAGGAAAAATGCAGAACTTAAAGTTTCTGATACATAAGCAGAGAAAAAATTTTAGTAGGCTAAAGAAGGGCTTAGAGCAAACATGCCAGAAAAGGAGCGAAGTTTGGTCATTAACTTTGCAATGAGCGCTTTGTTATTTTTCCCAAGTGTTGACAGAATGGAGGCAGAGCAATCCTTAACAACAGGGTCAGTGGCAAGATGTCTGGAGCGAAGGTTCATGGCAGGGCCAGTAATTATTATCGGGGTCGTATCTGATTTCATAGCGAAAATACTACTGGAAAACTTCGAGCCACGTGCCTTAGAAGCCATATAGGGGCCAACAGGACGACTGGGAGAGGTGGAGGTCTGGAGAGATGGTGCAGAAGGAGGTCCCTTGTCAGATGTTTTAGGGAAGGAGCCAGAGTCAGTGTCCAATGTATCTGTACCGATTGATGGCGGAGTTGGAGATATAGTTGGAGTAGGAGACGGAGAAGTGAGTATAGATGTATGTTTAGTAGTCCCTTTTGGTGAGTGAACCTGCGAAGAAGACAAATATCAGTGAAGAGAAATGGCGAGGACAATAAGCTAAGGACCAAGAATGGAAATGGTGACTTTAGAGGGTACGCTAATTACGACAGCAGTCATAGAAGGGAGTGGAGTCAAGGAACGTTTAGGGAACTCAAAGGCACTTGTTTGCTGCAAAGAAGGATCCACCTGTGCACCGTTTGAGGTGTATGATTTTGTTTCCCAAATAAAAGAAATACGCCGACTCGAGTTCTGATAAAAATATGTAATCAGATAAGGAACTTGGTTGTACACTGAGTGAATCAGAAGCAACAGTGAAAGTCGGAAATACCATTTTAGTGGTACCAGAAGCAGCTACCGGTTTGGCAGGACTTGACGGTGGGACAAAGGTACCAACAGGGTTGCAGTGTGCTTGCAGTACGGGACGGGAGCTTTGCTGTTCCTAATGGGTAATAAGTCAGAGAGAAAAAGATAACAGTAAACGGTACCAGTAAGGGACGGTAATTGCAAAATAACCTCAGAACGCAGGAGGGGACATGAAGGATTAGCAGGGGTATCTCCAGCTTTTGGACTATCCATCTTGGTAGAAGGCGAAAACAGATTACCATCTTCCTCTGACTTCTCCGACTGAGGCTTTGGATGGATCGTAGAACGTTCAGACGATGAGTTATCCGAGTTAGCATCACCAGCAGAGCGGGTAACACGTGCAGGTATGGGAGAAATGCGTCCACAGACAGTTGAGGAACTAGCCTTTTCTGACTGAACGTCACCTTTACAGGGTTTAGGGTGAAGCATCTGCTGCATTTCTACAAGTAGAGACTCTTTAAACTGCCGCAATTGTTTTTAACAATTTTCTCAACCGCTTGGTGGCTGGTTGACGTCTTCTTTGATCTACAATGGGTGGTAGGAGGACCTCCATCATCAGAGTCGGTGCTACATGTTTCAGAGTCAGACGGGGCTGTTTTTCGCTTACGGGGAGCAGACATGAGAGGTAGGGAAGCATACCCACCATGCCAGACAGATTTAGTGAAAGCAAAGCCAGATACAAGAAGCCTCTCCATATGGCAAACATGTATGTCAACAGGACCACCCAATTCAAACTCTGGCTGCCGTGGGCGAGGATACGTGACAAGAAGCTGGTACAGGTAAACTAAAGAATTAAACACTGTAATTTTTAAAAAACGGGGCAATAAAAGAAAGAGAGTAAGAACTTACTTCAGGATCACGTTCTGTAGCTAAAATGTTTGAAGTGTGGTAGGTCTTGCACTTAGGCAGCCGCTGAAGGAATTTGTCAAGGAAAGTATAATGTTGATCACCATGACGAAGGAATTTTGTTAACAACGGGATAAACCTAAAAGCAAAAAGCTGAATGGCCAGCGGGAAACCATGAACTGCAAGCGATGACTGTCTCAGTTTTGATACAAGTGCTGAGCTGTCATTTATGTAGCTACCAACCCTGACTGAACGCACAATGCGTTGAAAAGAATGACGTCCCCAAGGGTAGCTGAGAAAGAAGTCTATATCTTTAACCATTTCAACAACTTCAACAGCTGGCCTCACAGGCTGATTGCGACAAAGCAGAACGCCTTCTACAAGGACAATAAGAGCAAGTCTAAATTTCCGCCAAGCT